CTGAGCGCTGCCCTGTCGCCCAGGTGAGGAGCGCGGAGGGGGAGTTGGTGGACGGGGAGGACCCCAGCCTGCAGCCGTCGGCGGCCAAGAAGATAAAGCTGGAGCTGAAGGAGAGGAAGGAGAAGAAGCACAAAGTGGACGAGGACGAGATCCAGAAGATGCAGTGAGTGCCAGGGCGAGGGCACCGTGCCCCCTCGGGGTTTGCTGCTGGAAAGTGCAGCGATCGTTTAATCGGTTTGTGAGCCTGCAGCTGGCGATGGCTGTAGCTCCATCCAGATCCCTCCCAAGTGAGCCCAGCCGTTTTGCACCACAAACCTCGGCACCGCTGGGCTTTTCCCTTCCTGGCTCTGTGGTGCACAGCAGGAGGCTTGGGGTGGTGCAAGGGCTTTGCAGGGCTGCTGCAGTGGCCTGAAGAGCTTTAGATTTTGATTTTTGCTGTAAACAATCCTGTCTCTTCGCTGCAGAATACTGGTGTCCTCCTTTTCTGAAGAGCAGCTGAATCGGTACGAGATGTATCGCCGGTCTGCATTCCCCAAGGCTGCTATTAAACGGGTACGACTTCAGTAACGTTTTGCCACAGAAGGAGCCTGAGCTCAGCGAGCAGGCTGAGCTTTACTAAGCCTGGCTGTGGTCTTACACGACACGAGCTGGCTCTGTGACATGCAGTGCTCCCACCTCCAGCTGCATCCTGGCCCTTGTGGCTGAGACCATGGTCCTCAGGTTGGCTTATCCCATTATAGTCTAGCTCAGTGCCTTCACATGGCTTGAATTGGAGCTCATTTTAAATCATGGTGGTCTGAGGGGGCATGAGGAAACAGAGAAATGTAACTGCTGGTGCAGGGCCTGCAGCTGAATGAGGGCAGGCTAAAATTGTGACAGCCAGCGTGTGCCTGAAGCTGCAGGACCCAATTCTAAAGCTCAGTTCCTGCTGTCCTGCACGTTTCAGTAGCCCTTGGTTGGTATTTGATGGGCTCAAACTGCTAAGCGTGAGTTAAAATGTTTCACTGTTGCTGTGTGTACCTCGCTGAGCTGCCTGTCCCTCTCCCTCCAGCTGATCCAGTCCATCACCGGCACCTCGGTCTCTCAGAACGTGGTTATCGCCATGTCTGGCATTTCCAAGGTCTTCGTTGGGGAGGTGGTGGAGGAAGGTGAGTGGCAAATGTTATTGCTGAGTAAAAAATTAAGAATATGGGGCAAATTCATTGCTTACAGCAGAGCAGAAGGATGTGGAATGAGACTGGATGCTTTATGCTTCCCAGTCTTGCTGTTCTGAGGGACCCTCTGCCCTTAGAGCTGTGTTAGGAGCTGAGCTGGGAGAGGAGGGGAGTGTGGTGCTGCCCATGCCCCCACTAATCCTATCACTGTCACTGCCCGTGAGCCAGCAGGGGGTGGTGACCGCTGACCTCTGGTTCATCCTCTCCAAGGAGGATAACAGTGCAGTTCTTGCTCTGCAAGTCGGAAGATCTTTTATACAAGACCTTTTCTTATTGCTGCCATGGACAGATTCACCCCAGAGGGAAATGAGTTGTTTGAGCCTCTTAACCCATAAGATTCTTCCTCTGTGGGATGAGCTGAGATCACTCCAGGACATGGGGTGGGATCCTGGCCCAGGCACATCCCTGCTTTGCCTGGGCTGGAGGAGGAGGTGGGTTTGATGCCAACCAGTTCATATAGGCCTGTATGTGCTGGGATCACCATCACCAGGGTGATGTGGCTTTACTGCTGTCCCCAGTGCTGTGTGATGCCTGAGGTGGTTTGGATAAGTAGCTTCACTGCTGCTGTTAATTGCCTCACATCCTTGGCAGGAGGCAGGAATGATAATTAGCGTGAATGATAGAGAGGAAACTGGTCCGTACGTCCACTGGAGGATACATCAGTGCTGTGCACAACAGCCCCCACCCAGCCTGGGGAGCTTTAGAGCTGAAGGTTTAAGATCATCAGTTCCTGCATGACTCAAACCAGCAAATTCCATGGTAGCTGGAGTGGTTTATAAAATCTGTTTATTCTGGTCTGGTACTGATGCCCCTGGGACTGACTTTTCATTCAAAGAGAAGCACACAAAGCAGTTTCCTCCTTGTGTATTAGCAAAATGTGAGCTGAAAGCCCTAAACAAAAATGCCATTAAAATTAAAGCTCAGACAGGAGGAGGCTGGCTAAGCTCAGCCGTCCTGCTCATGTGAACTCTGTTGTTTGTTGTTTAGCACTGGATGTGTGTGAGAAGTGGGGGGAGCTGCCACCTCTGCAGCCCAAACACATGCGAGAGGCGGTCAGGAGGCTCAAGTCCCGAGGACAGATCCCCAGTTCCAAATACAAAAAGATCATCTTCCACTGAAGCGGCCCAAGAGCAGCAAGAGAAGATGGGAATTAAACCCAGCCTCCTGTTGTGAGCCTTGCAGCAGAGCTACGAGACTGAAGCTCCTTCAGGAGCATTGGGTATGGACCTCAGTGACTGCAGGGCGGCCTCCTGCCATCACTGCTGGATTTGGGCTTGTGAGCCCAGTGCTGCACAGGAGCCAAATCCCTGCCCTGGGGCCTTGGGCTCCTCTGTTCAACAGAGCAGGGACAGGACCGTTGAAGGTCTCCAGTGCATTCACCCACTGGGTTCATCCTTTCTGCTGGCACAGATGTAGTGGTGTCTATGTACAGAAGTGTCGGTTTTTTTTAATATTAAACTTGTTCTCGTATTGTTAAGTCTTGCTGGGAAATACTAATTGTGCAATGGCGTTTGTGAGTCAAAGCAGTGGAGTGCGAGGTGCTGATCTGTCTCAACCAACCCAGACACGTTCCTGAAGCTTCGCCTTGCCTCGGGCAGCGGTTGTGCCATCAGCATAACAGGGAACACGACTTGTGCAGTCATCGCTCAGCTGTTCATCCCAAAAGAAGCTGTCTAGAAAACAGCACAATTAGGAAGGTGAAGGAGGAGGAAAACGGGGGGGGAGAAATAAAAGCAGGAGCCTGTAAGGAGGTTAACAAGTTTAATTTCTTCTCATGGTTCATAGAACCAATAAATGCATGAATGGAAATATACTGCAACAAAGTTCCAATACTGCCTAAAACTCAAATTCAAGTTCAGACTTGCATGTTACCCACCTGTACACACAGTAGCCCCCTGTGAGCACGCTGCGTCTAACTAAGTGTAGAAGATGCTGAGGCCATGTGCTCTTCCTAGGGTAACTGGGGTGCAGTTACCCAAAGGATTAAGTTGGCTCTCATCTCAACATAGAAAAGTCCTTAAATAAAAGGCTCTAGAAAGTAAACTTCGCTAATCATCGTTATCAGTGGAGATACAGGAGGTTTTTCTCCTGCCAGGTGAAGGACATGGATTTTGTTTTACAGTATTTTTAACTGGTACTTAAACAGATGGAAGTGCTTTAATTCTGAAACAAACCCAGTGGACTTGAGTTCCTGGAGCAGGAGATCTGCTGTAAACTACCTGGCTCCAGTCTGTTCAGTCAGCACCTGCGGGAGGGGTGAGGAGCTGTGTGATACAACACACAGAAAACCCTTTGCACCCTCAGCTCCCAGGCTGGCTGGAGATGAAGCTGGACACCTACTCAAACTGAGTCGTGAAAACTTGAAAGATAAGAAAGAAAACCTCCCCATTTCAAGCAGTGAATAAAAAAAGTAAGAACACCATTGCATTCCACCAAGGCAAGCAGTTCTTACAGCTCCTGCTTCACGCAGGAAGATGGAGCAAGCACAGAAGCACAAAGGTTTAACTAAACTCCTGCCTGTGTGGGCTTTGTAATGGTACTTACAGTGAGCTGTTGGCATGTGGGCTTGGTTCACAGCAAGTCTAGATACGCAGATGCTCTGTTACCTCCTTTCTCTCTTGCTGTGAGAGCTGCACACAGCAAGACTCTCTTATTTGCTATGGAAAATAACTTGCATTTCAGAAGCTCTGCTTTTACTTCTGAACGACTCTGTGCACGAGGCAGTATTGGCGAAGGAAATGCCCGCTGATGCTTAAAAAGTTAAAGTGCATTTTCCTCTTGGGAACAGGCCTGCCAGGCTGCTCATTGTCCATCACAGGCAGCACCACAAATCTCTGCTGTCAGAGGCTGCGTTGAGCTGAGGATGGGTCACAGAGCGAGCTCCGGAGAAAACAGAACAGGAAGGAGGAGGAGTGATCCTCTGCCATGGAGGAGGGAAAGCAACTGGCAGAGGTCACAGCATCCAAATATCAGAGCTCACCCAGGCCTCCAGCAGCCCAGCTCCTGTGCTGCTGCCAACAGACTCCTCCTTTCCCTTTGTCTGCTCGCAGAGGTTGTAGGAGGGAGGTCGGGCTCTGGCTGTAGGCACAGGGCAGTCGGCTCTCTGCAGAAACACCATGCTGCAGCAGACACAAGCTCCCCGTTCCAACCCAGCACACAAGGGCTAACTCCAGCAACGTTATTCAAAGCTACCTTGGGTCCAATGGAGTCAAGCACAGAATTAAGATGATTATCTTCAGAGTGACAGTTGTTTTAATCACCATCCCTCTTTTACATTCCCTCTTTTTCTCAAAGTGAAAGCAAACAACCACAAGGAATCCACTCTGGGCTCTCCACAAACCACAGCCAGCAGTGCCTCCTCACCCAACCTGGAGCTGTGGATGTGTCCCTGCTTCCCCTGGAGCTACAGAAGAACTGAAATGATGTCAGGAGCGCCTGTTAAGGGGAGGTGTTCAACAGCTCCAGAGCTGGGCAAAGGGACAAGTGTATGAGAGCACAGTAGGAAATAAACCCCACCAACTCAACTCTCAAATTATTTGCTTGCATTTGTGTAGTTTCCAGGCTTCAGCTCATCATGGCTTGGAAATCAGAGGCTGCTCCTTGCATAGTGAGCACGATTAAAATCCTCTGTTAGTTTAGCTACACTCATTTCAGTGGAGTAATGCTTACATAGGAAAATAAATAGAAAAATCCATTAGATTAAGGTTTTGGGGAGTGTGTTCTGCTAAAAACACATTAAGGGTTACCTAGCCTTTATAGACAAGTGAAGCTGTCGTCTGATTAATAAAGGAGAATCACATCTAATCCATCACTTGCCCTAGCACTCAGTGTGTGGCAATCCCTACCCGGTTTACCTGCACTAGGAAGCCTGTGCATCAGAAGTGGCGCATTTACACCAACACAAAACGCATCCGGAAAAATCCAAATCCAAGTCTGAAATCAGAAAATCCAACAAACTCTGCACACGATGAAGCTGCTGCGTGTAACGGGAGGGGAAGGGTGCTCATCCAGAAGTACCACGTTCTCCTCTGGAGCAGCTTCTCCCTTCACAGCTGCCCCTTGGCTGCTTCCTCCTCCAGCACACGGAGCACGCATTGCCCAGTCTAACAGAGCCAAGAAACCACGCGCTGCTCTGCCTTCGGGAGTGGGTTTGATTCCTGCACTTCATAAATGACATCTCTTGTACTTGTTACAATTAGTGTTTACTTCATATTTCGCTAGGGTTTTCTTTCCCCCCCCTCCACACTTGGAAAGGTTATTTCTTTATAAATTAAGTCAGTCACTGACCACAGAGACGACTTCTTCTCCAGGGAAGCAGTTCCAGAAAAGGTGAGAATACAAACCTTGTGTCATCAACACCCACAGCGAGCAGTTAACAGAGCCAGCCCCTTTCCCCATACCAACATCCCCATTAAAAGACATCTAAAACCAGGCATGAGCTCAGCTCTAATAAAAAATACCTAGCCGCGGAGGAACGCAGACAGCTATTTCCTCTCCCTCTCTGCGCTGGTGCAACGCTGCCATACATTGGCTTAAGGACAGTTTGCACCTCAAAGAAAATGCATAGGTCATCTCATTTCGTGACTTCATCGACTTCCTTCACCCCTGTTCTTTGAGAGTAAAATTAAAGAACGTTTAAATAGCGCCTTGTAATGAAATAAATTAATTCCTTTGTGTTTCTGCATCAAGAAAGCCAAACATTGCAGGATTAAGTGAGAATGACCTAGACTAAGTCTAATCTACTACTGATTCTGCCTTGACACAACAAATTACTGGTGGAAAAAGGAGTCTGAAGGAATTTATTTACCATCCTGACCCTGTTGTTGGGGAATAGTGAGCTGTAGTCCCCTTACTCCACTCCACATCTCCCACACCCACCGATCTCCTGTGTTTCTGTTTCTCATGTGACAGGACACGAGCTTTCTCCTCAGAGCTCTGAGCAATGCTTGCTGCCATCCCTATCCTCCATCACTCCTGATGTGGTGAAGTAACTACACTCCTTGTTGTGTGTTCTCTGGCATGCAAGACTGGGCAAGAACACAAAGAAGAAGGCTGAAAGAAGCAGAAACCCCAACACGGACCATCTCTAGATGTTACCACGAAAGGTGAAGGCTGAAGCAGACTGTCACTGCCACCCACGGATGAAGAGACATGGGGCACGCCCCCCAGTTTCTGACCTTGTTTGTAGGCTGACCACTGCCCTGGTTCAGTGACAGATGGTAGCACCACACTGCCAGGACAGAGAAGAGTGGCTTGCACACAGGCAATTCCTTCTGGTTCCTTCCCTGTTGCTCAGCCAAGATTTCCTTCTTTTCTCCCTCTTTCAAGTCCATTTTGCAATCACAGTTGGTTTCCAATCTTCGAGGCCATCAGTCTCCAGGAGGTCGACCCGTTTAGCAGCAGTAGAATCAAAGTAGCCGCCTTAGTGCTGGTGGTGGTCTCCGCTCCTCCTGAGCAGCTGCAGCCTGCGCCTTCGCTGTCAAAGCTGAAAGAGGGGATTGTATTTCCTAATTTCCTGCAGTAGGCGAGCCTTGTCCATGTTGGCTTCTGCAAGGGCTATTTTCATGGTCTGAAGCTCCCTTTGCAACTCTGGCACTTCCTTTAACTACAAAAGAGAAACAGAGAGAAAAAAAACAAACCAGGAGTTCCCAAAGGTAAGCAGCAGGGCAGACCTGACCACATCAATCTGCTCTATGAGGAAAACCAAAGCAGCTTTTGAGATGAATTAAAACCACACAGAGCTCGCTGCCAACGTGACCCAGTTTGAGTTGCAGGACTTGCCAACTGGTGCCTGCTGACTTTCGTACCCGTCGTTAGAGCCAGAGCCTCTCCCAAGACTTCCCTCCACACTTCTAGGCATGAGAACAAGACTTGCAGTGGGCAAGGTTTTTCCCTGCAAAGCAGCTGGCTGATCCTGCCTGCAGATAACTACACAAAGAGAGCAGGAAAAGAAAATCGGCTCTGATCTGCATTCTTCTTTTATAAAGGGTCCTGACACACCTCTACATTAAAAATTAAGCGGATAGCTGGAGCAAGCAGATGCCTCACATTCCTATTCCTTGTACACGAACAAAGTTAGTTCTGTCCTCAAACGCTGCCAGTGAGTTTCATGGCACAGGACAGCTCATTCCTTGAGCTCTCAGAAGTGTTTTTACTCAAGAAGTTAGCCTTTGTGTTTGTTCCTATTAAGTTCAATGACATCAGAAAATAAACTGAAGCTAAAGCTACTGTGATGCTTCTGTGCTCCAGTTCTGGTCAGGGCCCTGTTTCACAAGATGACTTGAAGGGGACGGAGAGAAAGTCTGCACTAAATGGGAGATAGATGAGAAATGAAGTGATGTGTCATCAACTAACAAACAGAACCCAAGGTCCCAGTCCAGTTCTGTATCTAAGCAGCCACATTGCTCCCTTAATATGTATTTTTTCCACAGCAAGAGATCAACTCAACCAAGTTGGCATCAAACAGGAAGTATAACTAGAGAACACTACATATTTAAAAATAATCCACTCCTCTGCATTCCAGATTGAAATGGGAAAAGTTCAAACTAAACAGCAGAAACTCAGCAACCTGAAACTCCCTGGCTGCAAGACTGACTCAACTGACAAAACCTCTCTTTCTTTGTGGGAACCTCCCGATTCCTGTTTTCCTATGAAGGACCTGGACACAGGGGGAAGTTGGAGCCAATCAGAAAAATAAAAGAAAAAAACAGCAGATTCCTGAAAGGGAACAAGAGAGTCTAAGCTGAACAAAGTATCCTCACTTCTCAGAATGTCTGTAAAAGGAGGTACAGGCTGCTTTTGTGCGCGCTCCCTATCTGCAGCGCACCACACCTACCAGTAACTGCAAACACATGAAGACAAAAGGCTTCATTTTCCAGCCTACAGCCGGCTCCTGAGCTGTCCAGACAGCAACAGGCAGCAGTGACTCACCTGCAGCACGCGTGTTCCTGCTGCTGGGGCTGCCAAGACGCGCTCGGCCGGGGCCTTCTGCTCCTGAAGGACTGCCACAGGTTTTTCCTGTTTCGGTGAGCCCTCCCCTTGCGGAGCTGCAAAGAAGCAGAGGAAACATTCAGGTGTGGACATTTCTACAGCAGGGTTCTCAGGACAAAAAGAGTAACTTCAACTTTTCTTTTTTCCTGGTTTTAAACAGTGAAAAAAATAAAAATCTCATCTCCATTTTAAAATGGAAAAACTAAAGCCAGGGAAGAAGCAGTAATCTGTCCTGATTGTGTGAGCTCAAGAAAACATAAGGCGTGAATTCAGGCTGCCAGTTCATTGTTTTAGGTATTAACTTGTTCTGCCTGAGGTATCAGATTTTCTGTTCAAACAAAACAACAAAAGCAGCAAGAATTAGAGGCAGGGATGCACACATCCAGAGATTAACACAGCAGAGCAGCCAAAGGACCTGCGTGCTTCCACTGAAGATTATCTGCCTGCTGTGGTAGAAGTGCCTGCAGCGAACAGAAGCAGGGACTGCTCGCACAACCAGAGCCCATCCTTCCCAGCAGCAACCATCCCATTTCATTCCCAGTCTCCTCCAGCATCGGGCACAGCAGAGCATTTTACCTCCAGCACAGCCTGGGGTGTGCCAGGGGAGAATAAAACAAGTTTATAATGCTGCTGACCTGTTAGGTAGAACACCCCATCATCTCTGCGCCTGACAACGACGTGATCTACTGCCAAGGTGATAGGCACAGGGCCAGGGGAGGTAGGGTACACCTGAGGGCTGTCATCCTGGAAAGAAAACAAAGCAGAGAGGAGATTAACTGCTGTGACAGCTCTGGCAACGCTGCAAAGGATTCCCCTTGCCCCCAGCCTTCACAGGAGTAGCGTTACCGATCGGCAGCTCTGCCAGAGCTCACCAAGGTCACTCATGGTAGGGAAAAGCCTGGCTTTATAGTCAAGGCTGCATGGGAGTCTTAATCTGTGTAGAAAGCACTCCCACAGATCAGAACCAAGCGCTGCCATATCCATAATAAAGGTTGAGGAGAGGCCTATGAACATCTCCCCGAAGGCTGCTCTCACAGTTCTCATCCTATAAATTCCTGATTCAAACCCCTAGCCAATATTCCTTAGCCAGAAAAAAAGCCAATATCCCTCAGTCCAGAGATTTTCATGCTGTTGTACAGCAAGACTGCTTCCTGCTTGTCCGTGGAGCCAAAGCATTGCTTTCAAAAAGGTTTAATCAAGAATTTCTGTCAGTGCTCACCCCTCCTAAATACCAACCAGCTCTCACGTAACGGTTTTTGTCTGTAATTCTCTAGATGTTTACAGAAAAGGTCAAATCTCTCCCATTTCAGAAGAAGAGGTATTTAATTCTTTCCCTTGAGTCTACAAAGAAGGGCATGAACAAAGCTGGGGAGAGAACCTGAATGTCAGGCTCCCATCCATAATCTGACCCCTTGACAGTTCCATTGTGTTACCAGTTCATACATTTGGCAGCTTTTAGAAACAAAATAAAACAGCATCAGGAAAACAAGACCTCTACAGAGGCCCAGAGCAATCCCCCAGCATCCTTTCCCAAGCAGAACCTTGCAAGTGAGCTCTGCCCAGGCTGCCGTCCTGGGGGGAATCACTGGTTCCCCATACACTGACCTTCAATGTGATTTTGGCATCCACAACTTCTATCTCCATAGGGATCACCTCTGGAATTATTTCATCCTCAAGAAAGGGGCCAAGGTTGGTAAGGAAGGACATGAAGAGCTCTGCTGCGTAGCTGTGAACCAACATCCGAAGGAAACCATTCTGAACAGCCAGGGGTGAATGCACAGCAGTGTTAGGTCCCACTTCCAGACGCAAGCACACTTCTGGCTGGGTCTTACTGGGAGCTTCAGGAACCGGAGGCTTCTCTACACCTGGATCTCCTAGAGCTATAGGAGAAAGATCTCATTGCAGAACACGACATCAATAACAAGATATCAACCCAAAATCTGTATCTTGAAAAACCCTTTACCATCCAGATGCAGAATGGAGTCAATGACAGCAGTCTGAAATCATCCTTCACAGGAGATGAACCCAAATTTCAAACAACTAAGCCCACATCACAGGAACTAACACCAGAACTGGACCACTTAAGCCCCAAGACACGTCCTTCCCTCTCATCATATAGATATATAGATATATCGATATATCTGAGCTGACTGAACTCCCTCTCCACCCTGGAGCTCAACCCTCCCCCTGTCCTCAGCACTCCCTGATGCCGTATTTCGCTCTGCCCCCCAGTGGCCATCGCCAGTACTGTCAGGGGGAGGATCAACACAACCGCTCGTGCTTTCACTTCAAGTTTTGGGGTGCAGTTGCTTTTGGTTTCGGTTTTTCTTTGGTTGTTTTGAGGTTCTCTCTGTGTATTTGTTTTTTCTAAACTCGAATTTAGCCCTGGGAAGTACCATATAGCCCAGAAGCATAATTCTCAGGTCAGAAATAATGTCAGGGTTTGCCGAGCTTTACTCACTCTTTTAATTAATTTCATGCATCCTAGCAGCACTTAATAAAAATCCCAGTGAATTAGGGCACCATGGAGCTTGACTGCATATGCACTTTGGGAACAGCTTTCAAACACCAGATCTGAACCACTGACAGAAAGATTCTCAGTATTCACATTCCCTCACACACAAGTCATACCCAATCCTAAACACACTTCACCATGAAGTACCAGTTAAAATGGACTATTCCCTGAGCCAGTGTCTTACCCAGATAGCCACGCAGATACTGCCACATGCCAACGTTGTTCAGTTGCTCTGGAACCACGTTCATTACTTGCAAAGCAAGAGACAAATCATCACCTCGTGCCTCTATGCCACAGTTCACCTCATTCATCTTCAGCACGAGGACAGACACCTGAAACAGCAAGGGACAGGCTCACTTGATAAAACAAACAGCACTGCGTGGTTTGCTTCTTCCAGATTCACTTAGAGACAACATTGCAGTAAAAAGAAACCGAGTTCTGACCAGCTGAAGGCTGGGGTCTTCACTCTGCGAAGTCGAGCTGTTTATTTCGGGAGAAACTCCCCCCTCGTCCTCTGCCATCAGGCTCGCTCTGCTGCCCGAGTCATTGTGGGCCTGAGGAAGATGCCCTGAGGGAAGAGGGTCCAGGCTGGGTTCTGAAAGGGAAGTAACAACAACAACAACTCGATTCTGCTTCCTCTTCTGGTTTTAAGAAGTCCTGATCTCAGCATTTGCCTGAATCTCATGGCCCATCAGCCTACACCATCCTCTAGGGAACTCTCAGTGTACCCTGCTTCCAACCAGCCCTAACTAAACCCTTCCTAGATGCTATGGACCACCCACCCACCTGCACACATTGACAGTCCTTGCTCCAGTATGGCCAAATGCCTCTGAGCAACACTGTGGTGTGCAGGGGCCACTCTCCCTACTCATTTATACTCCTCATCTCAAAGAAAAAGCATCTACAGAAGCAGAAAGAGCCTTTGTGGGTGAACTACTCATGACCTTCAAAAAAAAAGGAGCAGCACAAGTGAATTCCATACGAACACAGCATGACTCAGTTGCCCATGGCAAAAAACTGCTAACTGACCTGAAATAAGAGTTGGGGAGAGGATAAAGCCAAGCGCTTGTTACCAGAGTCTGTGAGCATCACAAAGCCGTCGCTGCCATCGCTGTCCACAGACAGCCCATCCTCAGGGCCGCTCCCATCCACGGACGTGGTGTCAAAGGAATGCTGCGATGCTGTCCTCTTCATGGAGAGGAAACGCATTCGGCTGCTGCCACCCCCGCCTGGGGTCACTGCTCCCTCTTCTGCTTTGGGCACAGAATCCCTACCAAATAATAACAGTGATAAAGGCAAACAGATTATACAGATATTGGGCTGTACCCTGAACACCTGCAAGTCAGATTTTAGTGTATTTAGACCAATGCCAAGATGCAAAGATCTAACCTATCTCTAGTCCAAAAGATACGGAAAGAAAGGGAGCAATGGGCTCACATTTACCCCTTTCCCTGCACCCTTGCTGCTACTGTGAAGCACAGGAAAATGTCCCACTCACTTGGCTGGGGGGAGAGAGAGCATTTTCTGCATGGTGGAGGTCATCTTCTCCCGGCTCAGGCTCAGAGCATCTTTTGTTAGAGACATGGCTTCTTTGGTGAGGTCCATGGTCACGTGCAGAGCTTCCTTCGTGGCATCCTTTGTGATATGCAGTGCACTTGACAACTCCACCTCTATGTTCTTCAGAGGGATGAGCTCCGCCTGGCCATTGAGCGCGATGTTTCCTCTCCCCAAGGACTGCGTGTCCGAGGTTGGGCTAGAAGGGAGGGCAGGAGGGCTCTGAGGATGGCTGCTGGTCGCCGCTGGTCTTTCTGCAACCAGGGCTTCCACAGCTTCGTGTGCTTCCTCTATCAAACCTTTCTCCTCTATGCTCTGACTACGTGGGGCTGTACTCAGAGCTCCATCACTTGCAGATCTTGGGAGTTGCTCTGGTGGTTCACTGGTTACACTGGTACCTGTGTTTTCACTGGTACCTGTATTTTCAAGCCCGCCGTCCTCTGGGACCTCTGAGGTGCTGCACACTCCCCTCTCTGAACTGGTCTCTGATTTCAGCTCCTTCTCTTCAGCAGCCAGCCCCTCCTTGCTGTCTGAAGGCGAGAGCTCCGACTCGATCAGGCTTGTTGTGTCCGAATCAAGGGACCTGGGTTCCAAAATAGACCCTGGTGCGGGGTTCATGAGCAGGGCCACCTCAGCACTGTGGAACATAACTCCTACACAAGCAGACATGGAGTCTAAAGGAGACCCAGTCAATTCCTGGGTATCCTGGGCCAACTGCTCCTGTAGTGTTTGCAGAACTTCCTTCATCCTGAGGAGCACCAAGTACTGGTAGTGGTTGAGCCGGACTTTGACATGAACAGCCGAGGACACAAGCACATGGATATCAGCAGAGGCTTCCAGCTCTTTAGTATCTACCCCATCATCAACTTCACAGTCAGATTCTCCCAAGACATCCATGGTCTCTGGGACCTTGTAGATGTTCTTCAGATCCTGGTCAGTTTTTGATCTTTGACAAACCCCGTGATCTCTGGAAAGGTTCTCGTTCTTGGAGTGATTGCTAAAGCTGGCGGAGGGCTTGATTTTCAACTCGGAGGCAGCCAATTCCTGACGTTTAGATATCTGAGCTTGCCCCCACCTCTTGGGAAGGCAGGCCCAAATGGAAAGGGGAAAAGGGTCAATAAAGCTCAGGGCTCTGCCCTTGGAGCTTTCAGCCCCCTCAAAATCCAGGGAAAGCTCAGTGAAATTCATCGACCACAGATCTTCGGAGGCAGAGGTTTTGTGCAGTAGCTGGGGAGAGCCTGGATGTTTTCTAGGTCTGTTATCCACCTCGTACGCGTGGCGCAAGAAAAGGGTGTGGAGGAGGCTGAAGCTGTCCTGAGACCTTGGGAACTTGGCGTAGCTGGAGTGGAAGAATTCCGAACCGGCAAATTTACGGAAGAGACTCTGAAGGTCCTGGCAGCTGCAGAAGGGAGCGTGGCGGGTGTTGGTGGCAGTCAACTCCGACGTGCAAATGCAGAGCATCTGTGGACGATCTCGGTGGTCGGTGACTTTCTTCTCCACGGGGATGTTAAGCTACACGGGGGAAAAAGACATTAGAAGTAAAGTGGTGAAAAGGGAAGGGAAATACACAGAGGGTCATCCTGGCCGTTTACACAGAAGCTCAGCTGTAGGATATATAAACAATTGAGAAGTCTTGGTCTCTACTAAAATCCCAAGAGCTGGACTAGACTCTGAATTTATCACTATATGAAAAATTAAATAGAATCTATGAATCAGGGAAGAGGAACCAGACACAAGGGAATTTAAACCGAGTTTTATTTTAGATTCTTTTACCATCCATGGCTTATGTAGCAGCTCAACTTACAACATTGACTTTGATCTTTCTCTGCAAGGACTGACTGTACTTTCAGGCCTTTAAGCCTCCTCACAAAGCAGCTAACAAGGGTAGTCAATGACAAACACCATAGGACATCAATGCAGCAGATGTAGGCCCATTTGGAACAGTACAAGAGTAAAAGTGGCTTCCCCGAGGCCAGAAAACAACAACTTTTGACAACTTGAACCATCCATTTCTCCTTGAAACTGTTTTCACAATTACTGACTTGCCTGTCTTATTCTGGACTAGAACTCGAGTACCTGCTTTACTGCCCCCAGTTCAAACCAAAACTAACACAAGTGGTAGAGAGAATAAAGGCAGAGGTTTTCTGTTCTCATCTTGGACTCCAGCTGTGTCCTGGTCTTTGTTCCTTCCACAACAGAGAAGGAGAGAACACTGAAGACTGGCAAAGGCAGGAGATGAATGGTACCTTCAGCCGGAAGCCATCCAGTCGAACATCAACGTGCTCATCGTGCTTGCCTGAGTCCTCCAGCTTGTAGATGGCTTTGAACTGCTCCAAGCTGCGATAAAGATCCAGACAGAAGAGGTTTATCCAGAGCACGCTTGCTGTATCCAGGGTAAGCATCAGGCCATTCAGCTGTGCATACAGGTTTGGGCATGGAACTAGAAGGAAACAGAATGGAGACAGATTAATAATAGCAGAAAAGGCACTGCAGGGGGTCTGCAGCTCAGTGTACAACCTGCTCTGACCACACCAAGGCAGAGGGTTTCAACACCCATGGGAAGACAGATCTTGTGATGAAAGGGAGATGCTGTGGGGCACCAGTGAAAGGAGGTGTTCCAGGTCTCACATGAAGCCCCCTGCAGCGCACCCAAAGCACCCCACGGTCCTACTCCAGTGCTGATCAGTGAGGCAGAACCCCAAGAACTGGGCAGACAGCAGCTCCTTCAGTACATTCCTAGAGATGTTATTTTGCAAGTACAACTTTGCCTCCACATTTCGCACCAGGCAAACGCTATCCCACAAGCCAAAAAAAAGAGGCAGAAAGGCAAACATCAGAAAACTAAACAAAAAAGGACACCCAGAGAATTTGTAACGGGGTTAACACACCTAAAGATTTAAGAGTTGCCCAATTCTTTAAGAAACTTATGAAAGCAGGTGCTAACCTTAGTGTATTACCTGGAAAGTCCTGATTGTCTGGGAAGTAATACTCTGTGAATTCAATATGGATTGCAGAGACCTGATCGGGAAGCTTGAAGAATTTTCTGCTACATGAAAGCAAGGTGGAGGGTTTCTTGCTTTGCTGCCCAGCTGTAGAAACCTGCAGACACAATGGTGTGCAGCTGTACAGGGCTCAGACACGGCAAAACAAAGCGTCCCAGTAACCCCGCAGTCTCTCGTATTCAACCCACCTCATTTGCACATCAAACACGCTCTGCTTTCAAGTAAAAATAAAACTTATTTTCTACCTCCTAATACTGCCAGCTCCTCTCCCTTGAGGGAATTTAGTTCTTTAAGTCTCCTGTCACTGCTAGTAAGAGCCATGACGGACAGAATTAGGTGACGTGAATAAACAGGACTGAAATCTATTCTAGCTTGCTTCAAGTTTAACACCATGTTGGTGAGTCCGTTATAGTATCTGGCACTGATCGTGCTCTTGCACTGGTTACAGGGAATATGAATGTAGGTCCTGGTCCTGTCCAGTGATGCTTTCTGTCCTGGGTCAGAAAGAATGAGGCAAGACTTGTTCCTCCTCTGTCAAAAATTCATATCCTCACTAACTTCTCAAAATGCATAAAATCTTTTACCCTGAGCCTGCATGGTGCTTGAAGAGACTCAGAGTGCAGAAACTCTGTGGTTATGCATGCAATTTCCTCTGAACATGAAAATTATCAGCAGTTCATACGTGATTTAGAAGCTTTACACGCAATCTCATAACAGCATTTGGGTTCTCTGGGCTGAGTTCTTGGATGACATAGGATCTGTGTGATTTACTCAAGCATACCTGATTCAATTTCTAGAAGAAATAAACATCTCCAGCACTGCTCAAACCCCTACCTGGTGAACATCCAGGTCATCCACTCGAACCACCACACAGCTGGATCGAAGCCGGTTCCAGGGCGGCTGCCGGAGTCGAGGCAAACTTGTGGGAGGTGCACGGCCTTTCTCCGAGGGACTTTTATGAGGACTCAAAGAAGCATCTGCGGGGACGGAAAAGCAGAACCAGCAGGGTTTTATTTATCCCCTTTGCAGCAAACTTCACCATCAATACCAACATATATGTGCTTACAGAGCAGAATTAACAGCCCCAAAATTAGAAACAGATGGCCAGGGAAAAAAACAACTTAGGACTTTTGAAGGAAGAACACTGAAAGATGAGACTGCTCTGTAGCAAGAGAACACATTCTTCAGCCAGGCTTTAAGTATTTAATTTACTTAAATACTCACTTACGGAGAAACTCAATGAATAAGCTAGGAAAGTGATCACTGCAGCCTGTCTGTTCTTGCTGCAGTGTTATTCCAGTACGACAGCCACTTTCCTTTGCCGTTATTTTTATGATTTTTAGCGTGCTATGGATTTCTGCACCAACAAATCAGCCTGCTATACTGTGAGAGGTAACTAGAGATACTGCTGGATGGATCAAAATTGTGACCACCTCCTGGCTTTACCAGGAGTTTTATCAAGTACCATTACCCGATTTCCTTTTGAAGGGGGAAAGTGGAGTCCTGGCAAACGCAGGGTCCATTTCTTCATAAAGCTTCTCAATCTTGCTTTGAAATTCACCGACCAACTTCCTTGCCCACTGCCCCCGTGTTTCCATCGCTTCACTGTACCTCACCCAGTGCTTGCAGGCATCTCCTGCATGAAAGCAAACACCTTGGCTTTAAAAACGAGGTTTCTGGATACACACAACCCTCCTGTGCCCCTCAAATGCATGCAAATCAGTACAGAATGGCCTGCTATTGATATCAGATCTGGAACACGCACTACGCAGCACAGTACGTGCTTGTGAAACAAGTGCAGGCTTTCACACAACAGAGCTGGTCCCACCAGCAACTGTTCCAAATTCAAGTGTTGGGAAGAATGCCAAGGTCACTTCTCATTGATCCTTCAGTTAACCACAAACAGATTTTCTCCTGGGATACATCCTATAACCCTTCCAAATTGATTAAGCACGTGTAAGAACCAGATCCAGAGCTTAAGCAACTGAAAAGGAATCCAAAGTTTCAACTTCATGTCTTCACAGCAGACAGCAACTTATCCCTCTCTTTATACTCTGCTCTGCAGCAGCTCGTCAGTCATCCAGAACAGGAAAATTAGATTAACCCTGCCCACGAGGATTTAACTCCTTTGTGTAGCCTTTCTTCCACTCCTGCCTGAAGTTATATAGCATCGCTGTTCTTCAAATTCTTTTTTATCCCCCTCCTTAAAGTTGAGAGGCCCCAGGCTCCCCTACCTGCCCTGTGAAAAGGGTAATAGTCAAAAGCCATCCTCCTGAAGGTGAGCTGCATGGCACCTCCCAGCATCCCGTGCTTCAAACCACCTGTGGAAAACAGAACAAGGACAACTGTGATCAGCTCTGCCATCCAAGTCCTGATCCAGGGGAATTCAGAACAACATTGCTTGGATTGCCACTACAGATTGTCACCAGGGACACTATTAGGGTATCAGCTTCTAGGAAGCTGTATCAAAGTCTTGTCCAAGGCAAGGAAAAGGACAACTGAATGTACCAGGCCAACAGTTCGTATCGTAAGAACCAGACCTAGGATCTCAAATACCAAAATGTGAGATCCCATTGCTCCCCAGACCCCTATCAATTACACTTCCCACTACAATAACCACCACTTGTGTTTCCAGTGCTTGCTGATGGGTGAAATAAAGACAAATGTTTTCTCACCAAGTGGAATGATTGCACTTTACCCCCATGGCTCAGTACTAGACTGCTCCTAGAGCATATCCTCTATCACTTCCAATAGGTCACTGGCAGCCACGTCTACTCATGGACTTCCTCATGTTTGTCCCACAGAGCCAAGAAAGATTCTCCAATACCCAGTTCAGATGTACAGAACTGACCACTCCATCAGCCTATTGCCTCACTGGGAAACAGTGACATGAAAGATGCTTGTTTTCAAAAGAAAAATCCTCCTTTAAGAGAGCAAACTGATGACCGGATTAATGTTTTCCTCCTAGCGCTGCTCTCACAGTTACCTGACTCTCGAGTGTGGCTGTCATCACAGATGTGCAGATCCAAGCGTGAGATGAGGAGGTGGTACGATGACTCTTTCATGTCATGCTTATCAAAGTACTGACCAATGCTGCTCGCATTTGGGCTGACTCCAAACGGCTGAGACCAGGACTGCTGGGCACTTGGAGGAGGAGGGGTGATCTATTGGAGAGAGACAAGCTTGGTAAGAACTAATAGAAAGAAGGAAAAAAAATAAGAGAGAGAGATTATGATGCAATTAAACTCAACTTCTGCAAGGCATCAATTTACAGAAATTGAATTGGGAGTCCAGAAATCTGGATCCTTTCCTGTGTTTGCACGAGCAAAACTCTTTGTCTGTGGTTCTGCTTCCTCTACATCAAGCTACCATTCACTTATCTTGAAATATGCTTTAAAACTCCTGGACAAAGAGTGGTAAGTATTCTTGATCTCCTCTTCTATGTAGTCTCACTGTACTACATGCATAGCCCTTCTCAGCAGCAGTGATATTCCTCTTCCCTCACCCTCGTCTCAGAAAACATGTTCTGTCCTCTGCTCTCTGTGTTTGTTCTGTGACATTCATCAATTACTCAGCACAGCATTTTGAAAATAAAGAAAGCTGTAAGGAAAGTTCAAGGTTGTTGAAGCAGCTGTTCTAAGGTTCTCACACAGTGCTAAGCTGTCTACAAACCAAAAAACAATGGCAGAAGTCAAGAGCTCTCTCCAGAGTGTTAGCAAAAATAAAGAAATCCAAACAACAACAGTGAAACTGGATGCCAATGTTTTCCCTTGAGCAATGGTTTTATGTCATAATTTATTATACCAGTCCCTTTCCCCAGGCCTACACAGATTGCCACTCAGAGGCAGAAAACATTATTTCTAGAACATATTTATTGCTTGTTCCCAAATCAAATCCTCATGGGACCCTCTGCAACTTCCCATGTGCCAGCCAAAGCCGGAAAGCCATGCAACTTAACACCACTTTTTCCCTGCCATCAGGCAGAACCCAGCCTGTGACTATGAATGAGCACTCTCTAATGCTTATTGGCAACAAACCCTGCTCCTTTGGCCACTTCATTGCTCACCAACAGCCCGCAACCCTCGCAATGCTGAACTGACACCAGGTGAGCCCATCAGTTCCCACGGGGAAGGTGCTCTGTGAGCAAGGGCCAGATGCCACACAAACAGAAAGCGGCTCTTTCACCTCATATTTACCTCTTTCCTGGCAGACCAACACCCAAATCTCAACTCGCTCACCTGTACAGACTCTGGTGCCAAGCTTTTCCTTTGCTGTGCAGACTTCTCCATGGCTTCACTCAAAGATTCTGCATATTTCATCATTGCTTTCAGCTGAGAGTCTGTCAGCACCCAGAGCAGGTCGTCAAGGAGAAACATCAGCTTAGATGCCATCACGTTGCAATCTTTGGTCTGAAACAGCACGGAGTCAAGGACTTTAAGCACTGCAGCCATGTACATACATTCCTCATGACACACAGAGGCTGTAGCAGAAATAAAAGATGCTGCTCTGAAACTCATGTGAGGGATGAGTTAACTCATCTGCTGGATGTCCACAGTACCTCCTCTGTGAAGGAAAGCAGCCAAAGCTTCCTCCTCTTTAGGAGGCAAATTGCTCACTGGTTTTAAAAAAAGGTTAATGTTCTTTTTTATCATCAAATTTCTGTTGACAGCTGAAAATAAGGCTACCAGGCTTTAATCTCCCAGTAAAGAGACGAGAACTTTCCTTGGGGTGTTTGCATGGATTTGAAAGACTACTCCATACACAATATCCACCCCTGGGAAATAAACTGCTTTGACATTTGGTAAGAACACAGCCGTCTCCAACACAAAACACAGAGCAACATAGCAGCTCGGGCTCAGCATTTCTGAAGGAAAAGAATGGTTGCTGAGGAACGTGGGAGGAAATATGCATCAACACTGCACCAGGCAGGGAGACTGTAACCTGCGAAGCATGGAGGAAACTCTCACCCTCCTCTTGAGAGAGATCTGGATCCTCCCCTGGTTGGTAATGAGTCTCAGAGGAGTAGTAACAGGATCCTGATCGCCATTGTCAGTGGCATCTGCTTCTATCCGAAGTGTCTGCCAGGTGAGCTCCTTGAACGTCAAAACCTACCCAGAAGGAGAAAAATAAGAAAATGCGGAGATTTTCAACAACATCAAGGATCAAACTAAACACTTAGAAGATGCAAAATAAAACAAGGCCACAGAAAATCATTCAACGCATTTTTCTTCTGTGATCCCAGTACAAAAACAAAACCATGCCCTGGGTAACATCCAGCCCCCGCTCTCACACTGAGTTTATAACCAGATAAATGACATTCAGAGCTTCTCCAGTTTCATTCTCTTGGATCAGAGGAGCTCAGAGAAAGCTGCGAACACAAGTCAGCTCTCAGCCACCCCGTTCTGGCAAATTGTAGGCACACTCACCGAAGCTCCCTACCATCACTGTATGATAATTCAGGCACAGCCTGATTACCCCAAAGGATGGGGTAGCACGAGTGCCACTCTCCTGTGCACATTACAACAGGCAATATAACGCGACTCTTTACCTCTCCTCTCTGCGGATCAGTAATGCGGGTGAGTCGCAGGTCACTCTGTTGCCAGTTTGGGTTGACACTGTAGCCTTGGAGCTGCCATAGCTCAAAAGAAGCATGAAAGGCCTTGGAGTGAATCTTGATGGTGATGGAATTGACAACAATAAACATCCCCTCCACGACCTTTTCAGCAAAGCCATATTCACTGCAAAGAGAAGATCCCTCAAAATCATCACCTGTTACTATAAGAGGCCTGGTAGAGGTAAGGATACTCACAGAGCCTCCAAGGTTTACAAGCAATATTAGAGCCACTTAAACCTGAGTGCAGAGAGGCCGATGGTTGACAACGGCCACCTGTACCCCAACAGCTTGTCAGAAAAAGCAACAGAGCTCAGGATCTGACCTCTGACCAGCAGCGAGAGCAATGGGAGACTGTCCATTGGGTGGCCGAGGCTCTTCACATGTTCGCATCTCCACCTCCACTTTATCCAGGTACTGTAAGACAGAACATGGGAGCAGTAAACACAAGACCAAGACTCAAGCTCGGCCTACCAGCCTTAGGTCTAAGACTCTAGGGCAGGGATAAACAAGCTCTGGAGTCTCACACCTCTCCAAGCGTCTCATGTGTTAAAGCTCTCACACCATCAGTGCCAGGATCACTGGGTAATGTGAATCCCCAGAAGTGTGGGGAGGGGAGCAAACAACAAAAACCAGGCACAAGGTTGTCCTGGATTTCACTGAGAGCTCAGCTCAGCTCTACCCTGCAGGGAAATGTGGGTCTCATGGGAGGTCACCCACTGCCAAACAGGACTGCTCTCAGAACTCCCCTTTCCCTATGTGCTAAGGGCCTGGAGGATTTTGGTCAAATGAAAATTTGCACTTGACAGTTTCCCTTTGCAGAATTTTTCTCAAGTTGGAGAGATTAAAAAGGGTGAGGAAGAAAAGGAATGAACAAGAGAGGAAACATTACCAGGCAGATGGGGTGTGTTTTCAGCTTTGTCCACTGGATCTGAAACAACAAAGTTGAGGTTACAAGAGGTATCTCCACACTGGAAAGTCTGAGAAATTGCAGGGAACCATCTGAGCCCAAATTTCTTCTCTGAGAAATGACCACAGTGACAACCCCTCGTGTCTCACCGTATCCAGGTCAAGCGGGCTCACACAGACAAGTGAAAAGACATCCCAGCCACCAGACCCATAAATCAAGCTTAGCTTTTAGATCTCACGTATCATCACGAGTAACACACACTCTGCAGGCCAAATATGGCTTTTTCATATTCCTTTATGGAGAATGTTCCTGTCCTTAAGGAGTTTACAGTTAATTGCTGCTGTTAATGGAAGTCAGGTAACTCCATTGAAGACTGTGCACAAACCAAAACGATCCATTTAGTTTCCTTACAGCACCATTTATTCTGCAGTTCTCGTAGGAGGGAGAACAAATGTTTGTTACTAAATTAAGCAGATCTGACTCTAAATACAGAGCGGATCAGATGAGCAAGACAGGCTCATTATTATTGTCGCTTGGCAGAGTACAACCATATTTCTTTTATAGCAAGTCTTTGATACACTAAAAACTTTTACAGTCGGGTAATGCAACTGTGGCTGTTACCAAGATTAAACAATCTGGCACTTCATATCCACTGAAAAAATGGGGTTTTTTGCTCTAAAAAGCAAAAGGAGGAAGAATTTGCAAGAGGATTCAGTGTGCAAAAGTGCACCTGTAAGTGCGTGCACAATTGCAGCGATTACAGACGTAAAAGGACAACTGTGGGCATAACACTGAGTGCAGCGTGCAGCTTTTCACAGGCACTGCTCACGCATTTCCTATGAACTGCATTTTGAACAACGAAGCCTTAAGTTCGGTTTACTTCTACAATACCTCACAGCACAACTGGGCTTTGGGGAAACCCGCTGTGGCCGTGGCAGTCAACCAGCACACCCCACACCTAACGCACAGGGTCTGAGATGTGCGGATTGAACCGCGCCGTGATTCTTCATCTGAAACCCCCAAGTGGAAGGCCTCAGCTGTGCGTGGGGACGCAGGCTCACCCTGATGGATGCCTTGTTGCAGTAGACCCGGGTGATGGCGAGCCAGGTGGGCAGCTCCAGCACATTCTGCAACACCTCCTCATCCAGCTCCAGGTTGGTCAGCTGCCCCTGTCCTTTCAGCGTGCTCAGGTTGATTTTGTCTGGAGAGAGGTTCTTGGTAAATCTGCGAGAGAAGAAAGAGGAGACTCTAAAAACAACCCCCAGCAAAGCTGCTGAGACTAAAGGAGCCTTTAGGAGAGCTATTTTAGGTGTAAGAATCTGCTTGCTGTTTTGTTAAAGCCTTTCTGACATTTTTAAACCCAGAGCACGTTGCTTGCTCCAGGAAAAAAATGTCTTTACACTTTGACATTTGAAGGACTTGTTTATTTTCGGTTTTAAATCAAATTCAGGTTTGAGAAACTGAAAATTCCTCCTAAAGCATTGGGAACATGGAAACCAGCAAAACTGCCCTAGGACAAAACCAACGAAAACCAAAGCCAAACTGCAACAGGTCAGCAATTTTACTCCCTCCTCCTAAAATGCGCCGTATCAGCAGTGAAAAGTTTAATTAACTAGTTTCTTTTTGAACTTTCTGACACAGGAAAGTACATCACTTTGATGGCTGTCTCTTTAAAACACCAGTCTGGCAACCCAGCCTGCTCTCCGGTCAGCAGGTCCAAGCATGCAACCCAACTCCCTTCCCTAGGGACCAGCCCAAGCTCCTGTCCTCTCCTTTTCACACCCAGCAGCTGCTGCTCTCTGGTTGCAATTCCTCCTCCCAAGGGCTTCGGTTGTTTCCACCTCCCTCATATGCAGTCTCATATCTTTAGATCCCTTAGGTGCCTGACATTTAAATACAATGGATGAGACTATTTCAGGAGGAGTGCTCCAGAGCACAGTATTCTGGTGTGGATCTGAAAACCTCTGACTTCACTGTGGCCTCAAAGGAACCAGAAAAGCCAGTTTAGAGGGCAACAGACCACAGAGGCTGTACACACGTCAGCAATACCTCTCTAGGACGGCTGTCTTCATCAAACCACCCTGCTGTGCAGAAGGGACCGCCACCAAGGGACCAAGGCAGCTTGCACTCCGCAGTCACAGCATTCAAAGTTCAAGACTTCCTGCCAAACAACTCGCCCGCTGCTGAAGCCAGGGCTTATTCCCCACATTCCTCCATGCTAATGCTAATTCTAATTCTGTACAGTGGTCCAGAAAGAGGAAGAGAAAGAAAGACCCTATTGTCAGCGTAAGCAGGATTAGGCTCAGTCAGTCACACGCTGCCATTCTCTCCCCTTTCTCTGCACCAGCATCGTGGGCTACTTCTCTGTGAAAGGCAACAAAGGGCGTCTTGAACAAAGTCATCGCTCAGACAGGGGAGGAGGAACCAGAGCAACACGGCCGGGATGGCAGCTGATGCGGCCACCAGGACGGCAGCCGATGCGGCCACCGTGGGAGCACGAGGTGCAGCACAGAACTGGCCGAGACGCCGCAGCAGCTCCTGGTCAGCAAACCCAGGGCTTCCTGGGGCAAAAGTGCCCTTCCAAAGCGAGTATTTTGTTAGGAGAAAAGGCTGACGGGTGGTGAAGAGCCACTGATGTCAACCCTGCGCTACTGATGCGCCAACCCCTGGAAGAGGAGGGTGGCACAAACCACTCTGAGTTTGCCTAGCACTGCTTTTTGTGGGTCTCGTGCTGCCACAGAAGCCCGAGTCAGGCGTTCACTGTGTCACGCTGTCACCTCCCTCCCCTGAGCCGCAGGTACGCGCTGACAGCTGATTAAAGACCGAGTTTTAACACACCTGCCAGCTTCTCAGGCTGACACGTTCACCTCAGACTTGTTACTCCCTTTAACAAGAGTTGAAAGTCTTGTTTAAGCACACCCAGGAAGGCAGCCAAGTTCAACACCGCTTCTCAGCATCTGTACAAAGAAATAACGTATTTCAGAGCGTGCTGCAGTGGCTGCTCCACTGGTGAGGAGATGCAGGGATAGACTGAGTGTAAGGTTTGTGCTTGGAGTCCCGTTGTGAGCACCCACAATCCCAAACACTTAAAAATGAGACCAAATACCTCCAGAGGCAACACACGAGCATCCTCGCCTTGCGTTAGTGAGCCAGCCCTGCTGAAAGCTGTTGTAATCCTGTCCACTTGGGACTGGATACAAGAGAAACACAACCCAAACGGGTAGGTAATCAAAAGCTCTTGGGGCTGTCAAGCTCGCAGGCTGCTGTGGGCAGTGATCAGCTTACAGGTGGGGAGAGGCTGAGGCGCAGAGCGGCTTTCTCACACTCGTAAAGCCAGGATCAAACCGCAGGTGTCTCAAAGCCTCATCCCGAGCTAAGCACGCTTAGATGGGGAAGCTGCTTTCAGCTGGTAATGCAGAAGTAAAAACATAAGGATGTGTCTAAACCAGGGTGTTACGTTTTAGTGTGTATGTGCATCAAACAATAACCCAGTGAAAGGATGCTAAAGCTGTGAAACAGGACACTGGCGGAGAGAGTGCTGTGAAACATGACCTAGTTAAAAACAATTCACTATTAGTAATCGTCTACATGGAAAGGTCACAGAAGTCCTGAAATAAGAAAACCACCACGAGCACTACCAGACTCTACAGAAGAATCCTTTCCATAAGGCATTTTATTCTAGATACACCCTGATTTGCTGCTCCACCCCAAAGGAGAGGTTTTGTTTTCTGTAAACAAAAGTCAGGAACTAAACCAAATTCTCTCTTTTAAGCCACACAGCCAAAAGTCCTGAAGTTATGCCTGTTACCAAGCCCCCTACTCTCAATTTCTCCCTCTGTAAAGGAATCGGAGACGTTCAAATGAAGCAATCTTCAAGTTTAAGGACATTTTGATGCAGATATCGCATGTTAGATGGGGCTTACAAGAGGAAAAGAGACGAAACGTGCCTGTGAACTTGGGACTTCCTAGATGCCAAATCTCTGTTACTTCCTGAAGGGAACTGCTCTGGTCACTGCCAGGGAAGGAGAAAGCAATGAGAGCAGATTTTAGACGTTTGTTGGCAGACTCGCTCCATTCACGCTCATCAGCAGAAACATTTTTGGCAGCAGGGGCTGCTGGCTTAGAGAAAAGTGAATGAAAACGGTAGCTATTAGGAAAACTGGCAGTGTGGGATGTTTGCCCTTTTTTTTTCCTTTTTTGCAACTCTGATGGAAATCCCATAGCACTAAGCCAGGAAAGTCAAAGGACAGCACTTCCTTTTGAGCCTGCCAGGATTACCATGACAAAAGTCAACGCAGAAAACCTTTTTCTATCTTCCGTGGCATTGTCCCTGCAGAGTCACAAGGGCATTTCGCCTCTGTGTACACTTACAACACCCACGCTAACAATACTGTGAGCAACATTTTGACTCTGAAAGTGCCAGCCAGAAGCTGACCTGCTGCACCGTAGCCAAATGGGCCACGACAGCCACCAACACCCAGGGAAAGCCTTTGAGGGAGGAATAAAATCTCACTGCAATGAAGGCAATGGGAAATACAAGGTAGAAGCTCCTAACAGCTATAGCTGTGTCCTGCCGGGTCAAGCCTCTTACTCAGCTCAGTGGTTTGCGGAGAGGAGTTTTTCCTACAGCCCATTTCCCACTGTTCATTTCCATTTTAGATGACAGGAGCACTAGGGCTCTCAGTCCATGTTCCTAAGGAGCAGGCAGATACGGTCATTACAGCGCTCTCCTGATTTCACAGCAGACTGAAGGTCTCAAACCAAGACACTGACACCACCCAGATGATTTAAACCTCAACGCTTTCTTGGGATTTGGCCTAAAGGATGATGCTCTTTACAGAAACCCTCAGCTTGCTTGGGCAATTTCCAAGACCACGACTTGATTTGCTTTCAAACCTCACTTCAGGTTTTAGGTGGGGAAGGCACAGAGTGTCAGTCTATTTGCTCAATCGTTAGCTTGAATTTATATCTAATAATTATGTCACTACTAAAAGGACGACTGCCCGATTCATCAGCCTTGCATATCCAGAGAAACCCACTGGTTGCAAGAGGGAGCTGGGCCAAATCTGATTGCTGGTCCCAAGCCAGGCTATAACCATAAATACTGAATTTATGATCACATTCGTAGCTGTCTGGCCACGCTGTCTCCAAGTGAGCGAATACACAGACAGATAATGTCAGGAGAAGATGCCTGAAGTCATAAAACTTCTTTTCAGGTCCATTTCTCATTACCTTGCTGCCATGTGGTACGGGAACCATCGCATCAGTGGCTTCATTTGCTCAAACTGTATTTTCTGCCTCAGCTTCTCCTCCTGCAGTTATTCAGTAATCACTGTCTATTATACATAACCACTACCTCCAGCTGAACACACTGATTCCTATTAATATCTTTGTTACTATGGTTATTATATGCAAGAACTAATTAGCGGTCCACCAGCGACCTTGATTTTACTTAATGACAAGCATCATCTATTGGCAGAAGCAAGTAACTGTACAGCTTGCGATGCTCGCCACAGCAGCAGATGGAAAAATACTCAAAACTCAAGTAAGCCAGGAAAGGGGTAACTCGTCAGCTGCAATCTAAAAACAGACAAGCAATATTAAGGGCCTCGGGAAAATTGCTGCAGTCAAGGTCCTTGCCTTTGTAAGGGTAACAGCAAGGGAAGAGATGAAGATTTCCTGCTTTAATTTGGAAAACAAATACGTCATCTATGGCAGAATAGAAATTAGACATGGAAAAATACCCCGATATTCTGGCCAATGTAGATTTGCTCCTCACCCGCATCTTTCCCAGAGCCTTGTCCAGTTACGTTTTGGACAGGCCATTTAATGGGATTTCCATCTTCCTGGGGAAGATCATCTACAATCCAAAAATCTCTGTGATAGGACATTTCCCCTCATGTTTAACCTTTTATCTAAAGAGCCAAACGAGCATGTTTACTTGGAAAATAGGTTCATGACTAGTACAAGAAAAGGTCAGTGACTTCCAAATCCAGGAACACTTTCAAGGAAGACAGCAGCAGAAGCTGTAACTGCAGGACACGTGTCTGAGAATGAACTGGAAATGAATTTGAGGAAATAAAACCGAGCAAGGGATCAAAACTTCTGTAAAAAGAGGACAAAAAAAATAGCTGCCTCGAAGACACAGAGGAAGAAGAAGTAAAAGGCCTTTCAGGAAGAAAAGCCGTTTGACTTACTCAAGCCTTGGTGTTACTGTGGGGCAA